AGCCGGTGAGCTTTCTTATTTGGACACCCGGTACCAATGAAATTTTCATCTTAAATAATTTTTATTTGTAATACATTTTTTATTTTATTGGTACATACAGGGAAACTTATAATAGATTTTCTATGAAATTAATAGAAGAAAAGCGACGTGATGCTGAAACATCCTTATATAATGCAGTGTTTCAAGTCAGAATAAAAATACTATACCGCTGCCGGTTTTTTTTTTTGCGCGTAGATAGACTATTGTCCATATATTAATCATTATTATACCAGCAAAAAAATAAAAACACAATTAATAATTTTAGGTCTATTATCTTTTAAAACATTTTTTTGCAGTTTCGCTGTGAAGGTCACGGGCCCCTTTCGGGGCCGGGCCTGTGAGCTTCGCACACCAAAAGCTATGATTTCTCTGATTTCAATGATTTAAAGCTCGATAGGTTTATCTCTGAAAGTTTTCGTGAAAAAAAAAAAATATTTTGGTTTTTGTCATAAGAAGCAAGGTGTTAGAAAAGGACTTATATCTGTAAGGAGAAAGAGAAAGGTGTCTTTGTAACACATTATTTATTATGACAAAAACCGAAATATATTTTTTTTTTTCGCGAAAACTGTTAGAGATAAACCTATCAAACTTTATAAAATTGAAATCAGCAAAAGCAGAGTTTTCCAATGACCTATTAATATACAGGGTGTTAATAAATAGTGGGATCAAACTTCAAGGATAAATAGTACTCGTTAAAATAAAATAAAAAGTTAATGGTTACATATGTCCGCGAATGCTCAGTTTTCAAGATACAGGGTGTCAAAGTTTGAAAAAAAATCGGTTTTTAGCTGAAAAATTCCATTTTCCGATTTTCTTTTTCAAATTTGACAGGCACTATGACTTGCTTGATCTGAAAATATTATCAAAGTTATAAAAAAAAGTGACATGCCATTTTTTTTTCTACTTTTACCAACGTAGTTGATCTCTGGGCGCCACTGGAATAATTACGGTAAATCTAATTAAGTCAAAAGATACCTTTTGTTATTACTAAAAACAAATCTGCCAAGTTTAAAGAAATTCGGGAAACGGATTTTGAAATACCGATATTATAAAACTTTGACACCCTGTATCTCGGAAACTAAGCATTTGCGGATCTATGTTTCTATTAACTTTTTTCTTATTTTAATGAGTACTATTATTCTGAAAGTTTGATCCCACTATTTATCAACGACCTGTATAGAGTGTCCTATTGAAAAAAACCAGACTCTGGTCAATATCTCGAAGTTGGAGCCAACTAGAAAATAATTGAGAACGTCACTGAATTCAGCTTAAAAAAGTAGGTACTTCTAGAAAGTTTTTACGAAAATAAATTATTTTCATAAACAAAAAAGTTATGAAGGTTTCACAGTATCGCTCAAAATCGAGAATCGCCCTCTAGCGGCTAAACCGTTAAAGATATCAAAATGAGGTTTGCACCAATCAAAAAAGTGTCCAAATTGTACACAAAACCAGGCATTTCAAGCATTTCATCCTTTTTGAATGCCCTTTATTTTAATTTTTTTACCAAGCAATAATATAACTATACTTAACTGTGATAATTATCGAGCTTCTTAAACTTTTTTCTATTTTCTTCCTTGAAATCCACAATAGTCACGTGTCAATAGACCTATCTATTTTACCAGACAAACAGGTAATAATACGAAAACTTTATTAGATAGAAAAAGACGCAGAACGTTTATTGCGCAAGACGAGGCAAAACGTACCAAATTATGTTAGACTCACGTATAGCAATCCGTTCTTATTATTTGCACGGGATAAAGAAGGAAGGAGGAATACCGCGTGACATGCAACGTATTTGTCAATCAAAAACACAAACAATGGAAAATCGATCACTTGTCAAGCTACGTCAAGTTGAATATCAAGCATAATTTTATCCTTGTCAGACCACGGGCAATGAACAAGGACAAGAAGATATCCAGCGTGCAAAAGGATTACTTCACACCTGTACTAGTTAGCCAATAAAAATGCATTGCCTCGTGTTGCGCGCGCATACAGGTAAAAATAGATAGGTCTATTGATTTTTATTCAATTATTATTTCCATGGCAACAATTTTTCTAATTGACATAATGACTATTCTGGATTATAAAGAAGAAATTAGAAAAAAGTTCATGAAACTCGATAATTATCACAGTTGAGCATAGAACATACTTTATAGAAAAGGAAGCTTATTGCTTGATAAAAAAGTTGAGACAAGAAAATAAAGGGCATTCCATCATCTAGAAAAAAATGAGCTATGGATGTTTGAAACGTCTGGTTTTGTGTACGTACAGTATTGCGAACACCCTGCAGAATGATCAGATTTTCATAGGACCATGAAGTAAATGTAAGTACCTATGCACTAACAACCTGCAAAAGATTTAGCTTATAGGATTTCAAATGAATGAAATATGTTGGTTTTTATTGACACATGCAAACTGCGATTTTTTTGAAAACTTGTCAAATATTTCAAAAACAGTTGAGTTTTAGTATAGGTAATTCCATGTGTTCCATTTAAAATAACAAAATTCTGTCGCATACCCCATTCACGGAGCACCCCGTATATTCAAAATTATTTTTAACTTATTTTAATTTAACTTAATTTAATTTTTTTTTTTCTTGCATCACCCTGTAAGGAAATATCGTCCGGGGGTGCCCACTTAGTGCGACACTTGTAATATTTGAATTCAATTTCTCATGGAGAGCTCAAATTAAATAAATTTATAGAATACTAGTGACTTAATATAATATTTACATGGTAGAAACAATAATTTATTGGAATTTCAATAGAATTATAAATTATGATTCAACCTCCCTAGTTTTATACGCATGTTTTTTTATGAATAGATTGTCGGAAACGATTTCCTACAGCATGAAATTTTGATAGGTGCTTATATTCATAGTGAAGTTAACGAAAACAATCGTCCGCTGCCTCTATGTCGGTGGAAAAAGCGTCCGCTGGTCCCACCTAACGCGTTTATGCTCGGTATCTTTATCATGCTTGATCCCACCAGCGGACGGCTTTTCCACTGACATACAGGCAGCGGACGATTGTTTTCGTAAAACTCAATAAAAACAGTAGCTTTCATCAAAATTTCAAGCTTTAGGAAATGGTTTTCAAAATTACGGTTTTCGGCCCGTTTTAGGCCATCAGCGGACCCTGATTCCACCACCGCCCACCCAGCGGACCATATCTAGGGTACTTTATGAAACATAACCTTCTTCTCGTGAAAGTTTCATGCTTTAGGAAATCGTTCCAAATTTTGTTTTTTTTTCCGACTTTGCAACCCCCTAGCAACCCTCTCCACCGCTACCTAGCCAGCGGACGCCCCTCTGGCATCTCAGCGTCATAAATACTGTAGGTTAATCATGAAACGGAGCTTTAGGAAATCGTACCCTATTTTGTACGCGGGAGGCAGGGGTATTACTCAAATAACGTGATTGATGTTAATAGAATAAATGGGGTGAAACAATTCCTCATCTGTTTATCTTAAATATAAAAACTATTATAGAGACATTCAGTCATCTATAGCTGCAATATAAATTAGCAAAGTATAGGCTTATAATCAAAGTTTAATTTATTAATTTTTGGTTCACTGATATGAATATCAGTTTATCCAACAATATTGCCGCTAGACCAATAGAACTTGCGTCTTCATGAAGTTCAGTTTTTAGTTTGGGGTTATATATTGCAAGGATTGGGCAAGATGTAAGCGCTTGCTGTATTTGATGGAATACTTGTTTCTGTGATGCGTTCCACATCCAAATCACGTTTTTGCGAGTTAATCTTGTCAAAGGCTCAGCAATCATGGAGAAGTTCTTAACAAATTTTCGAAAATTACTTGCTTACCCAAGAAATTGACGTACTTGCTTAACGTTACAAGGATGAGGCATATCCAAAACCGCTTGGATTTTCCTTCTACCTTACTTCACCCCTTCTGCACTAATTTCTCTTCCCAGATATTCTATAGTTGTTGCCAGAAATACGCACTTACTGATTTTTAAGGTAAGGTTATGTACACGAAGCTGAATTGATACTTTTGTTAAGCGTTCTAGTCCTTCGGCGACCGTCGATGAAGGAATTACAATATCATCAATATATGGAAAGGCAAATTCATTTTTTAATGGCCCCAGTACCTTATTTATCAATGATTGGAAAAAAGAAGGAGCATTTGCTAGTCCAAAAGGCATCCGGAAAAATTCGTAATGGCCATCAGGGGTTACGAATACGGTCTTTTCAATAGAGTTAGCGGCCATGGGAACTTGATAAAACCCCGACGCTAAATCTAAGCTTGTATAATACTTGAATCCGCCCAATTTGTCAATCTGGTCCTCGATATTTGGCAGTACGCCACGGTTTTCGATAGTCACTGCATTGAGATGTCTAAAATCCACACACATCCTATAGTCTCCATCCTTCTTCTTAACAAGATACCCTTTTCCACCTTGGTCATGCGATACGGATAACGTACAACCGGAGTGTTGACTATACATTTTATCTCCATTTCTACAGTATTCGTATTTCCTAATTTTTTTATGGAAGAAGAAATGTGATCTGAAAAACCATGCAATAAAGAGATACATTTTTTCTTATCAGTCTCGGAAATGGGTCCCAACTTAATACTGTTTAAATCCAAGGTATCATAAACCTCAACCAAGTTTACGGACAGACTTCTAATGGGACGCAAACTGTATAAAATTAATCGATCATCGCGTTTAATCATGGTTACATGTTTTTGGTTGATAAAATCCCTACCAACTAATAAATCATATTTCAGATATTTGTCCGGAACAATTATAGCATGTACTTGTGCGGAAACTCCTTGTATAGTAGCAGTTATCTTACAAAGGGATCTACTATTTAGAGAGGTGCCCATGAAACTGCATAAAGTCATATTCTTCGAATCAGTACGTTGTAGTCCGAATCCTTCAACAAGGGACTCTTTAATGAGCGTATTCGAACTGCCAGAGTCTATTAAACAATTTATTTTTTTTTGCCAAAAATTCGAGCGTGCTGTAAAAAGATATTAGGGTCCATATCCTTGGCTAATATCTCGACCTGTTGAATATCTTTCCGTGGACAGGGACACTTCTCTTTAGTGTGACCTAGCCTTTTCCAATTATGCCATTCAAGACATGGTTCTCTACAATTTACTGATGTATGACCTATAAAACCACAATTTAAACACGTTACGCGAGACCCTGATGCTCTAGAAAGTTCTTTATTATCAAAATTGCCACGAATAAAACTGGTCGAATGTGAAGGTTTAAATTTTGCCTTGTTTAGATCTAAACTTTCTATTTCATTAGGCATGGCGCCCACGGTATTCAAATAAGCATAAAGAGCGTTGCCATCCTCATGTTGTGCGGCCCTTACAGTTCTCAATATATTATCGTCCCTGATACCACCAATTACCGCATCAATTAAATAAGCATCAGGTATGTCTCTATTGAGTGCCCTTAATTTAGACATTTCTCTAAAACAATAGTCCCCTAAGTTTTGTCCCGGCTTAGTCTCGTAGTTAGCAGCGTCTTTGAAAAGCTTAGAAAATGGAACAGACTTACTGAAATGCAGGCTCATTGATGTTTTAATGTTACTCCAACTTGAATCATACTCCACGTTCTCATCATACCATTGACGAGCGTTCCCTCGTAATCCTCCAGAAATCAACCGAAGAATAGTATCGTCGTCCCCCTGATAGCGTTCTGCTAAACCATCTACTTTTCTCAACCACTTATCCACAATCACATCATCCCGATTGTTGAGTACACGAATAAATACATAGAAATTGTAAAGCCGAAATTCATCAGATGGTTCAATTTTTTTATCAATGATTTAGTACATGTATCTCTGTGATACAGCGCGACTAATGATGTTATAAAAACTCGCGCGCCTAATGGAGGGTTAATTTCCAGTTGCTAGCAGATTTCCGGCCACTTGCTAAAAGATACAGGGTGAACCATAAGTTGGAGATTTTTTTTTTGCGAAAGTTTGGGTTCACCCCATTCTGCTGGAGGAAGGGTTGAGTGGATTTTTGGTATTCAGTTTAGAAGAGTACCTTAGTACCTCGGGACGTTTTTGAGATTTTTTGAATATCGCAGCGCACTACGATTTTATCATGAGTTATACGATTTTATGCAAAATATAGCTTTTGACGTAATTATTTCCTTTCGAAACAAACACTACAATTATTATGGCGCATGTGAAAACACACTCTAGAACATAATATTATACAGGGTGATACAAAAATATACAGTGTGTCTATTTTTCTAACCAGAGGGATCTCGGTTATTATAAAAGATACGAGGTCGCTTAAATTAGGGCAGAGTCGCTTAATTTTATGGCCAATAAAACGGCGGTTTGACACTGGCACTGCTGCTTATAGCAATGAACTAAACAAACACACTGGAATGGTGGCTGCATAATGTTTCTAACGCAAGGGTTTGTGCCAGGAAGGACAACAAACAAGTGGGATTTGCATTATCAGTGCGTCGAAACAGAATTCTTTATTCTTCGCAAATAAGGATCGCGGTAGGAATTGAAGCCTCAAAATCAACAATTATTCAAAGACGTCTCTATGAGAGAAATTCAATAGCCAGAAGGCGAGCAGCAAGCCCATTATTAAAAGCATTGCATCGAAGAGCACGAATAAACTGGGCTAATATTCATAGATACTGGGGGGTAGCTGAATGATAGAGATGTTTGTTTGTGGATGAATGCAGATTCACGTTGTATCAGAACTACCTACAAGTAGGGATGTAAAATGACAGTCATTTATTTTTTGTGACAAGTGACAGTCATTTTTTGTCATTTTTGTCATTTATTGTCATTTATGGTCATTTACCGTCAATGTAGAACATAACATAACTTAAATTAATAACCAGATAATATCGGAATAATTGACTACAGTTCTTCTTCAGTTTCACAGTCATCAGCATCAAACTCATCTAATGAGTCAGAAAGTACACTCCCATCTCCTCCATAAGATTAACAGTAAATATCGAGAGTCAGCTGATATTTTTGTGACACTGTCATATATTTCAATAACAGTCATATATTTTAATGACGGTCAGTTATTATATTGACTCTTAGAAAATTTAATGCATAAAAAAATAAATGACAGGAGTGTCATAAAAATAAATAACTTGACCGTCATTTTCATTTTGACTGTGACATGACACTGTTAGAAAAATTGGCTTACATCCCTACCTACAAGTGCCTACAGAATAAATTTTACCGCACAAGTCTGCCGTTGCCATTTTCGCAAGTGTTAGGTACAAATGGTACAATAGTTTTTCTACAGACATGCGGAAATAAGTTTACCTACATAAATTGTAGTAATTTATACCGGGTGTCTACGAGATCAGTTTCGCGCTGGCATTTGCTGGTTTTTTTTTCGATGGCAAAGATTTTTGGTATGGAGTGTAGGTTTGAGAAATGTCATCTTTTGACATCTGTGTCAATGTTTGGTAACTTCCGGTTTGACCGGAAATGGTTCTAACTCCGTAATTTTGAATGGCATCCCAATAATTTTTTCACATTTTTGGTATCTGCGGATCATGATGTGTACGAAAACGTCAAATTTGAACATTTTTGAAGAAATTTCAGAACTCTGGATGAAAATTTATTTTTGAACAGGAAGTGACGGAGCGGTCTTAAAATTGTTAATTTCAACCAACACAATCGTTGAAAAATGCGAATGCCAAGTTATTATCCTATGCTTGTTCTCCAAAGGCTTCCAAAGCTGAAAAAATCACATTTTACGTGATAACTCAATGAAATCAGTGAAATCACCCGACTTTCATAACAAATGTTTTTTACCTTTTTCAAAATAAAACCAACTATGCATTAAAACTTTTTATTCATGCCAGTTTTTAATTATTTTTCCAATATTTTTACTATGCATTACTATAACTGATAAAACTACTTATAAATAAACCCCTGTATTCAAACTTTGTATTTACAAATTCCCAAGATGTCAAACAATGACAAATAAACATATCTTGCCCACAGATCTTGTCAATGGCTTGTCAAGAAAAAAAAACACCAGCTCCTTTTGGAAAGCGTTCTTCATACAGCGGTTCATTTATAAGTAGTTTTATCATTTATAGTAGTGCATTATAAAAATAATAAGAAAATAATTAAAAACTAACATAAATGAAAAGTTTCAATGTATAGTTGGTTTTATTTTGAAAAAGGTAAAAAACTCTTGTTGTGAAAGTTGGGTGATTTCACTGATTTCATTGAGTTATCACGCAAAATGTGATTTTTTCAACTTTGGATGACTTTGGAGAACAAGCATAGGATAATAACTTGGCATTCGCATTTTTCTACGATTGTGTGGGTTGAAAATAACAATTTTAAGAACTCTCCGTCACTTACTGTTCAAAAATAAATTTTCAGCCAGATTTCTAAAATTTCTTCAAAAATGTTCAAATTTGACGTTTTCGTACACATCATGATCCGCAGATACCAAAAATGCGAAAAAGTTATTGGGATGCCATTCAAAATTACGGAGTTAGGACCATTTCCGGTCAAACCGGAAGTTACCAAACATTGACACACATGTCAAAATATGACATTTCTCAAACCTACACTCTATACCAAAAATCTTTGCCATCGAAAAAAAAACCAGCAAATGCCAGCGCGAAACTGATCTCGTAGACACCCGGTATATATTTTTTTTTGACAACCATGCGGAAAAATGTTTCCGCACTAGTGCGAAAAAACTAATTTCCCGCACTGGTATCGGTATGGAAAATTGATTTTTCCGCACGGCTCTAGAAAAATATTTTCACCGAAATTCCCAGATAGAACAATATTTATACATCCAACGATATTTTTTAGGCTTTGGCCTTTTTTTTTATATTATCATATTTTTCATATTATTATTTTTTTAAGTATGTAGGTAATTATAAAAAGTGTAAGTGTGTACCTAAAAAGGTAAATGACCATAAATGATAATAAATGATAAAAATGACAATATTGGAAGAATGGAGTGGCCTGCAAAGTCGCCTGAAATGAATCCGATTGAGCAGGTATGGAGTAGAATAAAATTAAGACTGGCTGAACGGCTAAATGGTTTTGAAGATTTAAATGAATTGGTAAATGCAGTAAGGCAAGAGTGGGTTATTCCCCAAAATTTGATAAGGTACCTATTTAATAGACAGTATGCCGAGAAGACTGGTAGATGTAATTAGAAATAGGGGTGGGCCTACCAAGTACTAATCTTTTTGTCAAGTGTCAAATTTTATTTAATATGTCTAGTTTTTGTTTCATTTCAATTACCTATCCCTACTTACAATTGCTTTTTTTATATTTATTTATTACTAGCACTCTACGAGGCACGAGCCAGTAATTCAATGTCACTTTAAGGCAGTGGCGCACCCAGGCTTTTTATTTGGGGGGGGGGGGGGGGGGGGTTTGATAATGATGAAGGCTTGGCGCAGGCAGGCGCTGCCGTAGGCCGGCCGCTATAGGAAGAATTTTTTTTAGGGTGTCACGCCCAAAAACGTTTATTTCAAGCCTTCGAAAAATAACTTTTTGTAAGTGATTGTATAAGTTATGTGTTTACCTCGCTGTTTAGAGGGTTACCCCATGAGTTAGGAATAACCCTGGGTCAAAGTTGTGACAAGTGTTTATCTATCCAGGGTCACCTGCTAACTCGAAAAATATTCCAGGAAAAAGTTAACCCGCGCTCTCACGGCGTATTTGACCCTGGGTTAACCTCAACATTTTCTGTTATTTTTTGTTCTAGATTTCAGTGATGATAATCGAGATGTTCTAGAATTTCTAGAACATGAGCGACGCCCCTACCACGTGAGGTTGAAGTCAAATCCCTAATCCTTTTGACGATTTTGATGACGTCAGCGCATTTTCGCTTACGAAAAGAAAGAATCTTATTTGTTCTAGAAAAAATCGAAAATCGAGCATAGACTCGAATTCCCAACAGACAGGTACCACGTTAGTACCTATGCTTGTGGTTTTTTCTCTCAGGCATTTTCTTCTCTTTGAAACAAAACAACATATTTCCACACAGAATAGGTAAGTACACGATACCGAAATATTCGTTACGGAGACAAAAAATACCATAAAAAAAAGTAAGGTTATGAGCAGAAAATGTCAAAAAATCGACAAAAGTAAGCTGGTAACGTTGCAAAAGTAATGCCAACCTTCAAAGAACCCGAGAGTTAACCAGCCCTAAGTTGAAAACGCTTAGATAAAACACTTTTCGAATTGAGTAGGTAGTTAGCCCAGAGTTAGAGTTAACCAGTTAACCCAGGGCCAGCAAACTCTGCGAATTATCCTTTGGTTGATAAACCGGCCCTAAATCAACTCGCTGTCGCAGGCAAAACCTTTTAGAAGTGCCCTGCACAAATTATCACCAATAATTGTCAACTATTGTCACCGCCACTGTTTTTATAATCATGTGTATTTGAAAGAAAGAGAGTTTCACACATGGTTGCAAAGATTCTAAATTCCGTCTCCACCTAATGTTGTCCATTTCGATTCCAGATTTCAGTAATTTCGCGTGACGTAAATTCGTAAATGGGATATTTTTTTATGTAAAATGGAAAGTT